TGCAGCTCACCTAGTCTCCGTATCATCCATGCTGCTACGCCCAGTAGGCCACTAGAATTACATGTGCCTGTGCAACAAAAATGCACAACAAGTGTAGCGTGAGTACGAAAACAACGTGTACTCAGTAAGTATCCCGTCTAATCTCGAAGAAGTAGAGACGAGAGGTCGACTTCGACACTTACTAATAGCCCAATAAAGATACACCAATAATATAATAAATCAAGGATTTTATACACAGGATTTGTAGTTCAATAGAATGAAGCAAGTATACAATTCTTTCTTTTATAGAAAATTCCCAAATTCCTTTTCACCATTTATACATTTATTCCCAAGCCAGGGAGAAACAATGTCAACTTCAATAAATTTCAAGGCAAGCAATACAGGCATGCGCAAATCATGCCGAGGATGTACGGCCCGATCCAACAATATTTAAATTGTGCACTGCCAGAGGGTCGAATGGCGCGAACCATAGATGCATCTATTTAATCTACCGAGGCGTTCGGCCCGTTCCACAATAAATAAACACATTCAAACAGTCAAATCAAGAATTCATCGAGGAGCTGTTATTCAGGAAAAACAAGTTCCTCGTTTAAAAGCCAAGAAACGATGCCTAGTTTTTAGGAATTTATTTACACGTTCAATATGTTTAAGCATTCCAAATTGACAACAAGAAATTGGCAAGTATTACAAGTAAAGCATGCTTTTGGGTCCTAGACTACCCAGACTTAAGCATAATAGTAGCTACGCACGGACTCTCGTCACCTCGTGCGTATGTAACCCGCACAAATAGGAGCACATAACCAATTAACTCACCTATCGGGACAATTCCCTCTTACAAGGTTAGAAAGGAGACTTACCTCGCTCCGAAGTTCCATAGCCGGCACTCCACGCCCTTCTGAAGACTCAAATCGATGCAAAACGCTCCAACACTAGCCAATAATTATGTAAACCCATTAATATGAGATCAATTACTCATTAAAATCCAATTTATAATAATTCCTAACCCCGATCGAAAAGATGACAAAATTGCCCTCGGACCCACGTGCTCGGATTCCGAAATTCTTGAAAGATAAAGTTTACCCATAAGCTCACGAACTCAAATATATGATTTACTCTCAATTTCATGCCCAAAATCGTGGTAAAGTCCAAAATATCAATTTCTAGGTCTTCCACCAAAAACCCACAATTTTCACTAATTTTCATGCTCAAATCCATATATAATCCAAGTATTTAACTCAAAACTAGTAGAAACCACTTACCTTGACATGGATGACAAAGATGGAGCTCCAAAATCGCCCCAAGACTGGCTCCCGTGGAGAAAATGAAGTGAAAATGGCTGAGACCCCGTCTTTAAAACAAACACACTGCCCAGCTCGCTTTCGCACCTGCAGTCAATTGACCGCTTCTGCGGTTCCGCAGGTGCGGTTCCAATACTGCTTCTGCGGTCCTCGTCCAGCTGCCTCAAATCGCTTCTGCGCTGCCCAGACCGCGTCTGCGACCTCGCAGGTGCGGGGATTTTCTTCGCACCTGCGGTCTCTGATCCCTCCACTTCCAGCCGCTTCTGCGGGTCACCCCCCGCTCCTGCGGGCCCGCACTTGCGGTGCTCCTCATGCAGGTGCGGTTACACCAGAAGCCCACCTGCTTCAGCCCTTCCTCCAACTCTATTTTCGATCCATTGACCATCCGGAATCCACCCGAGGCCCCCTGGACCCCGTCCAACCACACCAACCAGTCCCAAAACACATTACGGACTTGCTCGAGGCCTCAATTCATATCAAACAACGCTAAAATCATGAATGAACCTCCAATCCAAGCTTAATGAACTTTAGGATTTCAAACTTCTACATTCGATGCGGAAACCTATCAAATCTCGTCCGATTGACCTCAAATTTTGCACACAAGTCAATTTGACATTATAGACCTACTCCAACTTTCGGAATCGGAATCCGACCCCGATATCAAAAAGTCCACTTCCGGTCAAACTTCTCAAAACCTTCAAGTTTCTATCTTTAGCCAAATGACTCCAAAATGACCTACGGACCTCCGAATTCACTTTCGATCGTGCTCCAACACCAGAATCACCATACGGAGCTATTCCCAGACTCGGAATCTCAAACGGACACCAATAGCGTTGAAATGCACTTAACCCAAATTTATGAAATTCTTCCAAAATGCTAACTTCCACCATAGGCGCCAAAACGCTCCCGGGTTACCCTAAACCCGATCCGGACATACTCCCAAGTCCAAAAATCATCATACGAACCTACCTTCAAAACTCGATTCCGAGGTCGTTTACTCAAAAATTCAATCTTAATCAATTCTTTCAACTTAAAGCTTCCGAAATGAGAGTTCTCTTTCAAAATCTAATCCGAACTCCCCGATTCGCAATTCCGACCATGCGTACACATCATAATACTTGAAGTGAAGCTGCTCATGGTCTCAAACTGCCAAACGACGCGCTAGAGCTCAAAATGACTGGTCGGGTCGTTATAGAAAGCTTTACTAGCTTGGGAGAAAGTATGCCAACCCAGGTCAGCAGGAGGTTTCAATGTAATGGACATTGGTCTATGGAACAAAGCAGCTGTCAGTAAGCAATTCCAGAACTTATCAAAAGAAAAGAACAAGTTATGGATACAATGGGTGCACTGTTACTACATAATGAAAAAACACGTATGGGAGGTGCAAATAAACCAAGCATCATGGATCATGAGGAAGATACTGAAAGCCAAAGAAATCTTTGAGAAAGTAGGATACAATTATGATGATCTCAGGCAGATGCGGACTTGTTCTATAAATCACATTTACCATAAACTGCTAGGAGAATTTAACAAAGTGAGCTGGAGGAAATTGGTATGCAACAATGCAGGATGTCCTAGATGGATATTCACGCTAACTTTGGTGGCAAATGGCAGGTTGTACACAAAGGATAGATTGCTAAAGTGGGCTATTCACAATGATCAGACATGTCCCTTATGTTCACAGGCAAATGAGTCTATACAACATCTATTCTTTGAATGTCAATATGCTGCTGAGCTATGGAAAAGGATGCTTAACTGGCAAGGCATCAGCAGAAACATCTATGGCTGGTCTGAGGAATTGCAATGGCTGAAAACTGGGCAAGAAACAAAAGTGAAAAAACAGAGCTATTCAAGATTGTATTAGCAGGCTGTGTATATTTTGTGTGGCAGGAAAGGAATGCTAGACTATTTCAAGCCAAAGCGAGGAACTGTGAGATTCTTAGCAAGCTAATTGTACAAGAAGTGCATTGTAGAAGTAACAGAAAAATAGGAAAAGTTCTAAGTAGATTGGATTACTATCCAAAATAATAGCTAAAGTAGCAGAAGGATAGCAAAAGTGTGTACAGGGGAGGGAGAAAAGTATAAGAAACTTTGTAAGGGTTCTGTATCGAGTGTAAATATTTTCCCTGATATATATAAAAGTTTAATTACCAAAAAAATAAAACCTTCGACCCCTAGCTCCTCCCCTGGATACGAGTTAAATCAGGTGGTATACATTGATACTTAATAGAATAATTTAAAAAAAAATCTTCTTTAGTTCAATGAATGGAACAGAAGTAAAGAACAAAGGCAACATAGAATAATTCTCATACACCAACTTGTGAGACACTAGAAAAAAATATTACCCAAGTTGCAAATACAGCTAGCTAGCGCCTAGCAGAGTAGATTTTCGTACTTGTGATATCTCTAAATTAAAAAAGAAAGAGGAAAAAACAATAACAACAAATTAAACGGGATCATTGCTAATTATGGCCAGTGATTGTCAAGTTATTTTTGGTACTTGGTCTAGTTACTTGTTCTTTTCATTTACTTATTAATTACTTTGCAACCTTAGGTTTTTTCAGTCCTAATCATCTGATAGAATATAATTTGATGAGATTTGAATAGCATAACGTACTGATAGTATACACCTTTGATGTTGTACAGGATACTACTACCTTCTCTTTCTCTTAAAGATACTCCACCTTCCCCATCCACCAAAAAGAAAAATCCAAATTAAAAAAATAATCGTTTATACAAAAAAAAAAGACAGGCAAAAATTATCATAATTAATCTTGATCATGATCAGCAACAAATTTAGGAAATATCGTGTTTGTTTACACCTGTAATTGATGAGGACAAATTATGTTTTAAAATTGTATAATATGTCTACACCATTATTGTCTGTGTTTATCTTTTAGGGATGGAAGTTATTAAAATATATAAGAAGGGGGTTGGGGAACGAAATTAATGATAAGGCAAATATTATTTCATCCGTTCAATTTTACTTATTCGCAATGGACTTGTACTCTCTTTAAGAAATAATAAATTATGTACATATAATAATCATAATAATAATAATAATAATAATAATAGTATTTTAAAAAATCTTGAAAAATAATCTGGAGAAAAAGTATTGGTTACTGATAAAGATAAAATAGAAAAAATAAATTGCTAAGGTGGGGTCGTAAAAACTCCAAATAACAGGTTCCAAAAACTTTAAATCTAGTGAAATGAGCATAATTTTCATTCAAGTGTTGACTTTCATATAGCCCACAAATGTTGTTGTTAGAAGAAAGACAGATCGGAAAAAGGAAAGAATAATAATGATGATAAAGGATGGTGCGAAAAAGAAGAGAATTATTGATATGTTGTCGAGTTTATGGTGATGCCTTTTCTTCCTCTTCCCACATGAAGTGTTGGGTTAAACAAATAAATCTAATCTTTCTTTTTTTTTTTTTTACAACCTTGGTTAGTATTTTGTAGAATATTTTACGTACTTTTTTGGTTCAACCACATAACGAGATTTTCAATCCTTCTATTGATAAAGTGTCTAGAAAATAAATTATTCTCATAGATGATTTTTTTTTTTATGTAAAGTTCCCCAGACAGAGGTCTCGGTGTTATATTGCAAAAAGAGATCAGTGAGGGGGGCTATGCCTTACCTCGGAACCAAATACAACATGGTGATTTCTATCACCCAAAAAATGACAGCAGATTAATCTACCAATATACTGTCATAACTATATATACATCAAATTCAACTAACAAAAAAATTGTTCTTCTCATATTTTGTTCTGATACTAGCATTTGCCACTTATCCATAATGAAGGCGCTGGAAGTTGTTCGAAGGATTGGCATATCAAACGTGCCAGAGATGGAGGCGATTTTAGCTAAAGCATCAGCTACCTGGTTGCCTTCTCTATAATAGTGTTGGACTGTTGCATTTGCATGCTGGACCAAACTTGTAATTCTATCCACCACAATCTTTAGTTTCATGTTCTTCTTTCCATCTTGATTGACCATGTTTACTATGATATTTGAGCCAAGTTCGAGAACAAAATTAGTTAAACCTAATTGGTTACACCATTTTCCTCCGAACTCAGCAGCTCGAGCTTCGGCCATGTTATGACTGCCACAATCAATCGACATTGCAAATGCCATGATACAGTTTCCATCCTCATCTCTGATGATTCCTCCTATACCAGCTTTCCCACTTTCCTTGATGTAACATTCATCTGTGTTAATTTTGACCTTGCCATGGAGCGGAGAATGCCACTGAACTTGCCTCCATGTTTGGACAGGTTTCAATCTTTCAATTTTGTAGCAAAGAGAAGGCCAATGGTGTGGGGTGTCTCCATTTGGCATGAGCTTGGTTACTATGGATTTGAGGTTCCATATCACCTGGTGTTTCATGACATTGAGATGAAATTTCCTTTGTGTGCCATATCTACATGAACTTCTTTGTTTCAAAATTTCCCAGCAAATAAGAGTTGGTGCAGCTTGTAGAACCAAGCCATGAATTTTATTCTTTGTTTTAGCATCCCACCAATTCTTAAAAATTGCCGCAATAGGTGCACTTGGGTGAACAATACCCAAGGGGCTGCCAATATTCTTCCAAATGTGCTTTGCAGCTTCACTTTCCACGAAAACATGTTGCATGGATTCCACCTGTGGAACACTACACCAAGAACATCTCGAAGCTATATTAGTACCAAACTTACTAATCATGTCATCAAAAGGTAATTTTCTTTTCATAATTCTCCAAGTTAGAAAGGACATTTTAAAAGGGATTGCCTGATGCCAAGCATTCTTTAAAAAATTGCTTTTGGTTTTTTATATCTAATTAAATGCCACGCTGAATTATTTGAGAACTTTCCATCATCCGACAAGGTCCAAATAGGGAAATCATCTTCCGCATCATTACCTATATCAATTCTACAAATAAAATCAGTGATGTGAGAAGGAAGAACCTGGTTTAACCTGTTGATGTCCCATTGCCCATTTGTTAAAAAATCCTTCACCTGAGTTTTGGGCGATTTCCTGATACCTTGGACCTGGTGAGCAAGTGGACCATCACTCGTCCAATTATCCCACCAGAAGCTTGATGAGCCATTTTGAATGCTCCATTTGATGTGAACTTCCACCTTTCGTCTGGTCTTTAACAGGTTTTTCCAACCATGAGAGTCAGCCGAAGCCATGATTTTACCTACCGGGTGAGATCTTATGCAGTATTTGGCCCTGAGAAAGGTGGCCCATAGAGAGTTCTGTGTTCTAAACCTGCACCATCTCTTAATAATAAATGTATCAATAACATCTTGCATCTTCCTAACTCCAATGCCAACTTCGTCTTTGGGAAGACACATATTATGCCAAGAACTCCAATGATATTTGTTTGACCCATCTGTCGACCCCCAGAAGAAGTTTTCAAAATGTTTTTCCATGAGAGTAATAGTGCCTTTGGGAGGACTCATAGCAGACAAAGTGTAAGTGGGGAGAGATTGTAATACATGCTTGATAAGTGTGATTTTCCCTCTGGAGATAGAATTTTACCTTGCCATCCATTGATCCTTTTAACAATCTTCGCAAACATTTCATCAAATAAGACTGTGTTTTTCCTTCCATGATAGATTAGGCACCCCAGATAATTGAAAGGAAACTTTTTATCCATGAACACTGATGCTTGCCTAATTCTATTGATCCTGGAGGCAGAGGTATTAGGAGAAGTGATGAAATAACTCTTGTCATTGTTGACTTTTTGCCCTGAAGCCTTTTCATACCTCCTGATTTGTTTCTTGACAAGCTTGATGGATTTCTTGTTACCCCCATAGAATATGACAATGTCATCAGCATATGCAAGGTGATTGATCTTTGGACCTCTGTTATTCATGCTGAAAGGGGTAAAGTTTTCACAACTGAAGAGATTATTCAATGACCTAGTTAGCACTTCAGCACTAATAATGAACAAAGAAGGTGGCAGTGGATCTCCCTGTTTCAAGCCATGAGATGAGGTAAACAAGCCTTTCCTATTGCCATTAATAATAATAGAGTACCAGACTTCATTAACCAGACCCCAAATGATGTCAATCCATTCCTCCGAGAAGCCAAATTTCCTCAAAACTGACATGATAAAGCTCCAGACATTCTATCGTATGCTTTCTCTATGTCTAATTTGATAATAACATTTCCCCCGCAGTTTTTATTCTTGATGTTCTGTGTGATCTCTTGTGCTAGCAAAATATTTTCAGTAATGGATCTTCCTTTGACGAACCCACTTTGGTTCTTTGAAATGATTCTATGAAGCATAGGATTTAGCCTTCTCGAAAGAATTTTGGACATGATCTTGGAGGTGAAATTGCTTAGACTGATGGGTCTAAGTTCTGAGAAGCTACTGGGAGATTCTACTTTAGGAAGTAAAACCAGGCAGGTGTGGGAGAAGAACTTGGTTAGTTTCTTTCCATTGAAAATTTCTTGCACGAAGTCAGTGATATCATCTTCGATTATATCCCAACATTTCTGAAAAAAGGTGTCGTTAAAGCCATCTGGACCATCTGCACTATTAGCTCCCATGTCAAAAATAACATCCCTGATTTCCTCTGTGTTAGGTATGGAGGTCAGGACAATGTTCTCTTCTTCAGTAATAATCCTGGGGATGCATTCCAGTATATCATTATCATTGAATTGATGTTTGATGTTGAATCTCTTATGGAAGTGTCTAATTGCGGCTTTTGCAATGTTATCATCACCTTCCACCCATCTGTCTCTATAATCTTTGATCTTGTGAAGTTGTAGCCTTCTTCTTCTTTCCCTGATTAGGCTATGGAAATACTTGGTATTAGAATCACCTTCTTCGAACCACTTGATGTTTGCTTTCTGTTTAAGAATAGAGTCTTGCATGGTCATCCATTTGATGTATTCGGCTTGTCCTCGGTTAAGCTCTTCTCTAGATAGGTCAGTATTGTTTTGTAGATCAAGTTCTTCAAGGGCATTCATTTTTGCTTCCCAGTGTTGAACATGCTCATACACATTTCCAATCTCCTCCTTAGACCATTGTGCAAGCCTTTCGCTAAGTTTTTTAAGCTTCTGTTGAAGTATCCACAAGGCATTCCCACTAATATTAAAGTTCCACACATCTTCTACCAGGTTCATGAAGGAAGGGTGCTCCACCCAGAAATCCAGGAATTTGAAGTACTTAATACCATTGTTGTTTGTATTATAGCACTTGAGAAGTAAAGGTCTATGGTTAGAACCAGTTCTTGGAAGATGCTTGACAACATTATTTTGCATAATTTGGCACCACAAGTCATTAACAAAGACTCTATCAAGCCTCTTCCAAACTCTTCTTCTAGTCTCATAGATGAAATTCATCGAATGACTAGGACGGAAAAGAAGTATGTAAATTCGGGGTGTAAAAGTAAATTCGGGGTGTAAAATTTTCTTCTCTTTTCTTTATATTTGTCCATTTATTTTAATGATTTAATCATATTAAAAGTGTTAAATCTCCTCGATTAAGAGAGGAATTTTTTGAATTGCAGCAGAAATGAACTAACAGTAATGGAGCTCGAAGAGCAAAACAGATGGAGAAGAAACCAGAGAGAGATCAATTTACATTTTGCTTCTATCTTGCTCAACTCAGAAAATGAATTCTTACACTAACATATATACACGTAGCTACCAACCTCCACTAACTGATTCAGTTAAATTACAGCTAGCTAACTATGATTTATACTATCTAACTACAGTTAACTAATAGCTGACCATGGTTAAGTGACTTCTGTGCATGCAATATCCTTTACAAAAAGTTCTTGATAATTGTACTTTTCATTTCATTTTAATGTCTCTACTCTCGCCTTCTTTTTTCTTGCTCATATATTTTTCTGGCATTTATACCTTTCCAGCTTGTATTCAACTTGTCAAAAGAAGAAGAAGAATCCCTATTTAACACGGTCAATTATATTGTACAAGTCAAGTATTACCATCATTTCATAAGTATTTGAATGTGTCTTCAATTTGAGCTAGTAGTTGTGGGGGGTGGGGTGGGGGTGGGGTGGGGGGTCCAGAAAATGAGTGTTGAAGATAAATAGAGATACACGAATGGACAAAAAAAAAAGGAGTTAATACTGTTGAGCTGTAACAGTAATGAAGTAATATGTAGTAGGAGTGTATGACAGTGGACACACATGCAGGCAAAGCCACTCAGAGACAGCACCAGTTCCTGTTGCTATCATAATTGCTTATCTTCTCCTTTTAGCTTAGCTTACTCTTAATTCAATTTTTTTAATAATCGTCGGATATCCAAAACTCATCGGGGGAGTTTTGGAGTAACGGTAAAGTTGTCTTCATGTGACCTACAGGTTACCGGTCCGAGCCGTGGAAGCAGCCACAAATATTTGTATTAGGATAGACTATCTACATCACACTCGCCCTTACATGAACTCTGCATGAACATAAGATACCTTATGCACCGGACTGCCCTTTTTAATTGCCGGATATCCAGAACCCAAGCAATCCAATAATCCAAGTTCGACCGCAATCGCATCTCTATCAAGATTAATTTTTTCCATTTTGAATGGTCAAATGAAGACTTCTAATTGTTGGTGAGGAGATCATATCTATTCCATCACAATGATTTACTAAACTCTAATTAACAAACAAAATCTCTTTTGTACATTTTTCGTGTGGACTAGGAAAGGGTATGCACTTCTGTTGGGAACATGCCCATGTTGTTCAGCCAAAGGTCCAATAGCCTAATTCTATTCTCTTTTGGTTTCTATTCCTATTTGGAATTGGATTCGGTTTATTCCTATTTTGAGTGGGTTTTGGCTTTAAGAGAAAGCACCACTCATGATCTATAAATAGGACAACCTTGGAGAATTATTCTATGCTCATTGATACAAGTCTTTGAAAGACTTAAGCACATAAGAGTGGTTTAGAGAGAGCTTTCATCAAGAGAGAAGAGAGAAGAAAAGTATTTGTTTTGCTGCAGATTTTTATTCCGACCAGCCAACTTCAGATCACGTTTTCCGATTCGTTCACCGTTGGATCGGCTTGAAATTTTGACTGAGTGTTCTTAACATCTTGTTCTTGGATTTGAACGGTGGAGATCGGATTTGAAGGCTCGTAGCATCTGATTTCGAGCCTCGAACAGAAGCTTCATTTTTGTGGATTATACTCTTTCTTCAATTGATTAGTTGTTGGTCTTGTTGCTATTGTTTCTCCGTGTTTGGCCCTTGTTGTGTAGCCAATTTGGAGAATTTTTGTAACCCTCTTATTGTTATAGTGGAGCTTTTTGGATCTTTGTGATCCCATGGCTTTTACCTTCGATTTGAAGGGTTTTCCACGTTAAAATTTGGTGTTCTTTATCTTCTTTATTTTCGGGTTTGCCTCTTCCTCAACATAACAATGGTATCAGAGCCTTGGTTATTTATCCGGGTTGTCACGAAATGGAGGCGAATATGAGCAAGATGGTATGGTTAAATGGGAGAAATTATAATGTTTGGAGAAGCAAGATGAAAGACTTGTTGTTCGTGAAGAAGATGCATCTACTCGTTTTTTCAGCTCATAAGCCCGAGAGTATATCCGATGAAGATTGGAATTTCGAGCATCAACAAGTATGTGGATATATACGGCAATGGGTTGAAGATAATGTTCGCAACCATATTGTGAACGAGATACATGCGAGATCATTGTGGGAAAAGCTAGAGACTCTTTATGCTTCAAAAACCGGGAACAACAAATTGTTTCTGCTAAAGCAATTGATGACCCTTAAATACAAGGAAGGCAGCCCTATCCTTGATTGCATAATGATTTTCAGGGCGTCCTTGATCAGCTATCTAGAAAGGGAGTTAATTTTGATGATGAGATACAAGGACTTTGGCTTCTTAATACTCTGCCAGACTCTTGGGAACCTCTTCGTGTTTCTTTGACAAATTCAGCTCCTGGAGGTAAGGTGACCATGGAATATGCCAAGAATGGTGTGTTGAACGAGAAAGTAAGGAGAAAATCTCAGGGTTCGTCCTCACAAGCAGATATCTTGGTTACAGAAGACCGGGGGAGAGATAGAACAAGAGGCTCAAGGAATAGAGGTAAAAGTAGAAGTAAGTCAAGGTCCAAATACTATAATGTTACATGCAACCATTGTGGCAAGAAAGGACACATCAAAAGGTTTTGCCGCAAGTTGAATCAAGACACTAGAGAAGGA